CCAGCCTTTCGACATAAGCTACTTTTCCATACGAACACAGATATGTATGTACATATTTTAAGCAATTTTCTGAATATTTTTTGATGCTCGATATTGCATTTTGGATATATTATTTTTAATTTTTTCCCTTATTTTATTTTTTTAATTGGCAACAGTTTATTTTTTATACTTTATTTTTTACTCTCATAAATGAATATGATTATGAATAATTTTTTAATTCACTTTTATCGCATCCAATTTATGCTGAAGGTAACATATTCAAATAAGGTTAAATAATAGAACTTAATAAGGTTTGGAACTCTGATTTTTAGGGTTTGTGTTGTAGAATTAACCATATTTTTATAAAATATTAGCGAAAAATTAAATATTTAAAAAATAGTTACCGATATTGTAAGAAGTTCGCTGTTCCCAAACTTAATTGACTGACTTTATGTACATAAATTTACAGCTTATCTTATCATGACCAAATTAGATGCATGAATGGGGGCTTTATAGCCGATTACAAATACAAAAAACGCATAAGTGGTTATTCTGATAGCAACTAGGCCTTAAAATAAACATCGACTGGACGTACACTTTATAACGCATGAAAATGTTATTGATTGCCCTCTGAGTCAGAAAGAGAAATATTTAAAAAAAAGTAGTGAATTGTTTTCCTTTTTTAAACGGGGATAGTGAAGAGGTGTGCTGTTAAAACTAAATTTTTACTTTGAATCCCCAACTCTCTTATGATAATATCAGAAAAGTTATTCTTCCATTTTTTCTTAAATAAAATTTCCTTGGCAATAATAAATCTTATCCAGCAATGATGATCTCCTCTGAATATGAGCGAAAGTCTGAAACCCTTTAAAGGCTTTCAATTCACGCAAAGCGGCTGTGAATACCAAATTTAACCTCATAACTTATGCAACAGACAACGTCAGCCGCTTTTACTTTTTAATTTTTATAAAAGCATTTTTTTTTCATTTTCTCCTTATTACCCACCTTCTATTGATTACATTTTGAATGCAATGTGCGTAAGTACTAGGAATTTATGAATGACGCACTTGTTCATTGAGGTGATGGCACAAACAAAAGCGGAAGAAAATAAAATTTAAAAAAAAGAAAAACTGCAAATGTTAATAAGGATTACTTTTTTAAACCAAAATGCAAATTACAAGTATTACAAATCATGGCGAAACCGAATTATTTTTTATAACTTTTTGATCTGAATATTAAATATTAAGTATTTTGTACAGAACTAAGTTTAAATTATAAGCCATCATAGCATTTTAAGATCAATTTTAAATTAATTTCACAAGATAGAAGATAGAAGTGATTTCTGAGATACGAGGTTTTGACAAAGTTCCGTCAAAATACAGCTCAAAAGTGCTAATTACTAAGGAAATTGTTCATTAAAATATTCTGCTACTTATTTTCGCCAACATTTTTTATAGTCTACTTATTTACTTTTTAAATTTCCTTCAATTTTTTTTTCGTTCCGCCGTTTTTGCGGCTACTTAAAACATCTGTCAACATTTGACCGCTTGGATTTGTTGTGATCAGTTCAAGGATTTTTAATTTTCATACAGCTTATTGACATTTGCTGTCTGCTAATTCTTTAGGCGCATTAGGATTGTATGTATGAATTTGTCTTATTTTCTGGTTTTCTATTTTAAAAGCATTAGCAGCATTTTTTTTATTTCAGTACATATATTGCGTGATTATGGTGATCCCCAAAAATATCAACATGTAAATTTTGTATGGGGCGTCACTTTATTTTTCTATACGTACAAAACAAACACATTCACGAAAATTTTTAAATTAAAAAAATTTAGGGGTTTGGGAAAATTACAATTTTTTATAAATTGCGAAAATTCGAAAAAAAATTTACTTTGACCAGCTGTCTAAATTCCTTTTTTAAGACCTTGGATAGGTTTTCTAACTTAGCACGTCACTTAACTAATAAGGTACAAGATTACTTGTCGAAAAATCTCTCGCTTTGGAACTAAAACCTACCTACAATTTTTTATATCTTTGAAGGTCTTTGGAAGGCTTTGGCAGGACCTGGAACTGACCCAACAGATTCCAGTTTGTCAATAAATTTCAATAATTTGATACGTATCGCTAATTCTAACTGAAAAAAATTCGATAACTCGACTATTTTCGATAAACTTTGATAACTGTGCGTTTCGAGGGCTCGACAAATTTTGATGACTCAAACATGTATATATATCTCAATAAAAATCGATAACTCGATAAACTTCAAATAACTCTATAAATTTCTATAACTCGCCTTATTTTTGTAGCTCCATAGATCGAAAGCTATCGAAAAATTACGGTAACTCATTACACGATAAAATTCGATAAGCAGTGACAACTCGATAAACTGATATAACATTGAAGTTTCGATGACTCGATAAATCTTGAAAATCGACAACTCGATAAACTGATATAACATTGAAATTTCGAAGACTCGATAAATCTTGAAAATCGACAAATTTCAGTAAACCAGTAAATATCAATAGTTCGATAAGTTGAAAGAATTCGGTGCATTACGATAACTCGATAAATTTCGTTAACTCTATAAATAAGGACAATTCAATAAATATCGATAACTCGATAAATTTCATAAACTTAGAAAATTTAGATAGTCCCACAAGTTTTAATTGCTCCGTAATTTCCGTAAACTAATTTCCTGTGTCTATAAACCAAAACCACTCAATAGACATTGATCAATTTGAATAATTCGATATGGTGCGATAACTCAATAAACATGGATGACTCGATAAATCCCGTCAACTATAAACATCGATAATTCGATAAATTTCGGTAGCTTGATAACTTTCGATAACTACTTTTTTTATAACTGAATTTATTTCGAATCCTATCGAAATATTTCAAAAAAATTTTAACCTTTCAGTTACCCTAATTCTTCTGTATTTCGAATTTTTTCGTTTTCGTCTTTATCTTCAAATTTGCCTTCACTATTTCGTCTTCATCGTTTTTATCATTTATTTTTTCATCATCACATTTATCTTTATCACAAAGTTTAATTTCAAATACGAAGTACTTAAAAAAAACGAACAGGCTGCAACAACAAAACAACTACATATGCACAAATACGGACATTTTTAAATGACGATTTTGGCCGTAATCTTCAACCAATTTTGAAAGCATAAAAACTCGTCTCATCTACATAACAAATACCTTTCCAATGGTGTTCTGGGTTTTGAAATCGGTTCGGTAGAATCGCCAAATGAACGGCAACAAAGTTTATGTTAGTGGATTAATTTAGAGATAACATTCAATAGCATGTCAAATTTATCAGATTTTACCAGAATTTTTTCGAATATTTGCGATTTTATAAATATAAATTTTTTTTTTAAATATAAAAATTTTTAAATCCTGTTAATTTTGAAATTTTGGGTAGTTGGCTTTACTTTGCACGTGCTGTAACAATATAAATAGATGTCCCACACAAAATTTAAATGTTGATGTTTTTAAGGGTCACCCTAATACATTCATATGTAGGCAAAGTAAGTCATCTTTTCTGTAAACAAATTGTTTTGATTGATTGTCAGAGATAATTCTACTGTATTTTGGCAACTGGGAGTGTGGTAATTTGATGCACTGAAATATGCAAAATATAAATTTAAAAATACGTGATTTTCTTACTTTTTAAGCTTATTTGGGGCAATAACCCAAATACTCCATGTCAGGCCAGCAATTATAGCGAACAATCAGGCATCAGGTACCCTATTCAATAAGAAGAAGAAAATTTACCTCCACCCGCGACAGTTAACTTCCGCTATAATTTTTCTTTAATTTTCTTTGCATCTATAATTTTTACAATTTTCTCTATTCGCAAACATTTAGCCTCAGATTTCTGTTTAACACCTGTTGGATTTATGTGTTTGCTTTTCATGAAATTTTGTTCTCATTCGTTCCACCTGTTGAGCGCTGCCCACTTGCCGGTGCTATACAATATTTTACTTGCATGCATTGCATTATAATTTTGCACAACGATATTATTTGCAGAATTTGTAAAACTTTTCAAATATAATGAAGTATTCATATCTGTAATACTAGCCAATAATTCAAACTATCACAATACATACTTACTTACATAGTATATTGGCTCTCATCACTAAGGCCCTACCTACCCAATTTTACATTTTTATTTAAAAAATAAATCTACTTTACTAAATATTCATACTCACGTCGAAAAACACGGAAAACTCATCGAACAAAGCCTTCAAGTCCCGTTGATTGCGCAACATTAGCGGCAGGATTTGTTGCT